TGTATTTTTTGGTTACCCAGGAGGAACGCCATCGTCATATCGTTCACACTCGGGACGATCGCACGGACTCCGTTGCTTTCGTCGCCCGACGGGACAAACGCCCTCTCGTTCCAAATAGGTCTTGTTCGCATTGTGGTCGCACCAATCATAGCGTGGATACATGTTTTGAGCTCATTGGATTCCCCGCACAGTACGCTCGTGGTGGGGGGCGGGGTCGCGGCAGTGGCTCTACGGGTCGAGGGGGGTCAGCGTCCGGTGGCTGTGGCTCTACTCGGCACGGCAGTGCCCCTCACACCCCTGCCGGCAGTGGGCAGCTGGTACAGGGTAGTAGCGGCGGTCCTCCAGCAGCTGCTCATGCATCCGTGTCTGACTCGAGTGGCAGCCTCAGTGATCAAATGTCCCGCTTGATGTCTATGTTAGAGGCGTCCGCTTCTCATGCATACACCGGCAATTCTTCTTCTGATTGGTTAATTGATAGTGGCGCTTCGCATCACATGACAGGTTCTCTCATACACTTATTCAATGTTGAGGATGTTTCCCCTCATTCTGTCTGTCTCCCCGATGGGTCTCGTGCCTAGGCCACAAAACAGGGAAGTGTGCATTTGTCATCTCGTTTGGTATTACGTAATGTGTTATATGTACCAAACCTACAGTGTCACTTAATTTCTGTTGGATGTTTGATTCGTGATAATACTTGTTATGTAACTTTTAATGATCATCGTTGTGTGATACAGGACCGTTCATCGAAGATGGTGATTGGAGAGGGTGACTTGCGAAATGGCGTGTATGTCTTTGCATCTATTCATGCATCAGCCCTCGTAGCCAATCTCGATCCTTTTGTTCTTCATCAACGGCTGGGCCATCCTTCCGTTGACGTTCTTTTGTTTCTTGGTACCAATAAAACACAATCTGTTGTTCAAAAATTGAAGACTTGTGACATTTGTTTTATGTCTAAGCAAACTCGTTCCCCATTTCGTATTAGTGATAATAAAGCTGATGCTATTTTTGATTTAGTTCATTGTGATCTGTGGGGACCTTATTCACCTTGTATTTCGTCTGGGGCACATTATTTTCTGACAATTGTTGATGATTTTTCTCAGGCTGTCTGGGTTTATTTGATCAAATCAAAAAGTGAGGTCACTTCTTGTCTACGACGTTTTTTCATAATGATCAACACCCAATACTCCAAAACCATAAAAATTGTTCGTTCTCACAATGGCACTGAATTTCTCAATTCTTCTTTGCGTCAGTATTATGATAGTTTGGGTGTGTGTATTCAAACGTCTTGTGTTGGTACCCCACAACAAAATGGGCAGGTAGAACGAAAACATCGTCATATACTAAATGTTGTCTGATCCCTTATGTTTCAAGCGTCTCTTCCACTAGAATTTTGGGGGGAGTGTGTCAAAACAGCAGTCTACTTAATTAATCGCACTCCTACTACAATCCTTGGGGGAAAATCTCCTCTTGGAGTTCTTTCCTCTAAACCTCAAGATTTGAGTCATCTTCGGGTTTTTGGTTGTCTTTGTTATATCCACCCTATTCTTAAACCAGAAATAAATTTTCCCCACAAAGTATCAAGTGTGTGTTCGTGGGCTATCCCTATGATACCAAAGGGTGGCGTGTTTATAATCTTGAAACACATACGTTTTTCCATACGAGGGATCGGACATCTCCTTTGATGAAACAACCTTCCCGTTTGCTGTTCCTACTCCCTCGACCATGTCTCAACCCATCCTCACGCCCTCATCGGCCGACTTTGCCGTCCCCCCC